AGGGTCTCACACTCCTGTCCTCCTGGGAAAATCTAGATCCTTCAAATTCGGCCCGGTTTCTTCCTGGGGAGTCTTGACCCCTGCCTTGTGGTTGGTGTGGGATGGGGGGCCCGGGAACAGGACTGCCTTCCTCTGGCCGACGCCTGGCAAGCAAGCATGGGATGGGTGCTGTCTTCCGGAGAGGGACCAGAGGAGAAGTGATGGAGCCCCTAATTCAAGACCCTGCAGAGGGGGTGTGAGAGCTCATAATCCCAGTCTCTAAACCAGTGCCTTTCAAGCTCGCTGTGGTGAAGAATCCCTGTTTAAACTGTATAATCAGTCACAGATCAGTGCTTTTGTAAAATGCAATAAAAATTTCCAAAAAAATGATCACACACTTGGGTACTGTGGTAATGTCAATGTCAAATTGCTGTAAAATTGTTCTGTGTGCTTACGCTCAATGTCCGTGTTTAGCTCATCAGCAGCCAATAACAGTTTGTACCACTGGTTGGTACCACAACAACCACACTCCACTTGGAGCTGACACTTTCATAAAGGTTAATTTCCCTCTTTTTCTTCCTGAAGTTTTACCTCCTCCTTGATTAGACAGGAAGAGGGGTTCTAATAGCCCCTCACCATCTGTTTAGAACCTCTTCCCCCATCGCAGGCCCTTCCTGGTCATTTAACACCATTTGCCATATGGAACGGTCCCAATTATACATATTCTGACTCACGGACAACATGTTATGATTTTTTTCTTTTTTTGAGACAGCCTTTCTGTCGCTCGGGCTGGACTGCAATGGCACGATCATAGCTCATACTATAGCCACCAAGTCCTGGGCTCAAGCAATCCTCCGGCCTCAACCTCCCTAGTAGCTAGGACTACAGGCATAAGCCACCACAATAGCTATTTTTTTTACTTTTATTATTTGTAGAGATGAGGTCTCACTATGTTGCCCAGGCTGGTCTTGAACTCCGGACCTCAAGCAATCCTCCCACGTCAGCCTCCCAAAGTGCTGGCATTACACGAGCACAAGCCACCACACCCAGCTTGATGTTTATTTCTATTGACTGCCCTACAGTCGGTGTGTTCGTGAAAAGGTGAGCATAGATTCCGTATTTGATGCAAAAGAGAATGAGGAGAACTGGGTCCTAAGGCAGGAAAGCCCCTCCCGGGATAGGTATAGGAACCGACAGTGTCCATCTGAGCAGGACACAGTGCAAAGGCTTCTGCTTGGAATGATAACAACTGCAGTTACAATTTTTTTGAGCACATAAGATATGACAGACCCTGAGCTTCACAAGCTATACCTCTGTTTTCCCCAACAATTCTGCAAAATAGATATGATTTTCCTAATTTAAAATAAGCTATTTCAACTCCATGTGGCCATGCAGGTGCTATGCAGCCTAGAAGGCTTTGAAACGGCATCTTCCAAATGCTGGCCCAGGAGTAGCTTCATAGCATAGGAGGAGATGTTTTAAAATGCAGACTTTCAGCCCCACATCCTCGATTCTTATTGGAAGCCTGTGAGCGTTCCCCAGGCCCCCCAGGTAACTCCACAGCCTGGCTGGCTCTGGCACTGCTGTTCCAGGGGCTACTGAGGACTGGGGTCTTGTGGGCTGAGGGGGAAACCCTAGGAAAAGTCCAGGAAAAGCCACATGGGAGAAGAGTGCCCAGGAAGGCACTTCAGTAAACTATGATACAGCCATATGGCAGCATACTATACAGTCCTTAAAAAGGAAGAATTTGGCTCACACCTGTAATCCCAGAGCTTTCAGAGGCCGAGGCAGGCAGATCACAAGGTCAGGGCTTTGAGACCAGCCTGACCAACATGGTAAAACCCTGTCTCTACTGAAAATACAAAAATTAGCCAGGCATGGTGGCATGTGCCTGTAATTCCACCTACTCAGAAGGCTGAGGCAGGAGAATCGCTTGAACCCCGGGAGGCGGAGATTGCAGTGAGCCAAGATCGTGCCACTACACTCCAGCCTGGGTGACAGAGTGAAACTCTGTCTCAAAAAAGAAGAAGGAGGGGAAGAAGGGAAAGAAGAGGAGGAGGAGGAAGAGGAAGAAGAAGAAGAAGAAGAAGAATTTTTAATAACATTAGAACAGACATTAAGGGAACAGGACAGGTAACAAATCGCTTGTACAGTTGTGCCACAGCTATGTAACAAATGTAAAAGTGCATGTTTTTAAAAAAAAAAAAAGACTGGAAGGAAAAACGAAGTGTTTTATTGGTTATCTCTGCATGAAGGATCTATGTGATTTCACCCTCCTCTGTACATTTTGATACATAGGGCATGTGTTACCTTTCTAAATAGAAAAGCAGTAAGCACTGTTTTTGAAAGAGAAAAGTCTCTCAGCCTAACTCCAGAATGTCAAAGTTGACCCAACCAGCGTGAGTCAACTTTGACATTCTGGAGTTAGGCAGAAATTGCTGGGGGTTTTGTTTTCTTCTTCTCTCTGAGGGCAGGAAATAAGTCTTTCGCACTGGGTTTCCTGCTGGGGTTGGAGGCCCAGAAAACTTCTGGCTGGACTGGGGACAGGTATAAACACGCCGGGCCAGCAAGGCCCTGTGCGAGTGGCTCCTGCGTATCTCTGCGCCCGTCTCTCCAGCACCTGCTCTGGGAGCCTTTCCTGGGAAGCACCATCACTTTTGCAAGGCCATCCTCTCTACCTGGAAGGCTCTTCCCTGCACCCTCTTGCTTACCTGACATCCTTTGGCCATTGTCTCAGGTGTCCATGTTCTAAGGTGATCTCCCCTGACCCCCAGTACCGAGTCAGGGCCTCCAGGAGCTCCCGGAACGCCCTGTTCTCCCCGGTTTGATTGTAATCATGGGCTACTTTTAAGGCTCCACAAGGGTTGGGACTCTATATCCCCTGCATTATCAAGTCCCGGTACACAGCAAGCACTCAGTACATGTTTACTGAATGAATCAAGAAATCCAGCCTTGAGATCCTGGTAGCCATGTGTCAAGCCGAGGAGCTCTGGTACCTGCCTCTCTTGGAGCTCCTTAGAGGAAAGGCCCCAAATAAAGCTGTTATGGCTGGTGCCAGGTGATTTGCAAAACCACCTCCTCAACCTGCTCCACGGGATTAGATCAGAGATTGGAAGGCAACCGCACAGCCAGTAGTGGGGGCTGACCTCTTCCCTGATGGCCTGCTCAGAAACTGCCCAGTGCAGGAACTCTGTCTGGGGTGGTGGCTAACTGGCCCGACAGCTGGCTTCTTAGGAGGAGGCTCACTGAGGGAAGCAGTTGTCCTAAGGGCCACTGAGTTTCATCTTGTCCCTCTGGGAAGGAAGCACTTCTGCAAAAGCCCTGGAGGCAGAGCCTTTGAGCTCCCCCCACACCCATCTGTCTCTTCTCAACGAACTACAAAGGCTGCCTTGCAGGGGAGGGCAGCCATCCCTGGTCCCTCTCTGGCTGCTCACCGGCCACCCTTGGGCCTCTCCTCTGGGCTGCGCTGACTTCTCGGGTGCTCTCTGTGCGAGGGCCCTGGCCCAGCTGGCCACAACAGGACTTGAGCACCCTACCCAGACGGCCAGGCTTGCAGGCGGTTGATGAGTTCAGGGCCCTGCCGTCCGGTTCCCGGGGTCCCCTGCCTGGAGTCTAGAGGATGAGGAAATGGGACTGCCCCTGCCTCTCACACATCTCCTAGTGGAGTGAGGGACGCATCTGCTGCGCAGGCCCACTTTGGTGGGGTGAAACGGGCCAGCCAGGGAGATCGGGAGATAGAGAAATGTGTTGCTGGTGCTGCAGAAACGTGCTGGGAGTGGGGGTCCCGGGAGGGCAAGAATGGGCTTCCAGAGCCTGGGAGGGACTGACCCTGAGCATCAGAGGACAGCAGCCTGCTAAGGCCGGCCCTGAGGATGTCTCGAATTCTGCTAGGTTGTCCTTGTCCCCGCCCTGCTGTCTTCTCTGCCCTTTCCTCTCCCCTCTTCGGGAACAGTGCCCTCTGGCCTCTGGCAGCCACGTGTTCCAGTCTCAGAAGGATAGCTCAGCTCTAAAATATTCTCATTGCACATCAGCCCATGCGTCACTGTGCTGTGGCTTCCCCGAAGCCTCCTGCCACGGAAAGCTAGTGGCTGACACACTCCCCCACACTGAGGTGTCATGAACTCAGGGTGGCATGGGGCAGAGGATGAGGAAGCGGGGGCAGATTTAAAAGTGGCCCATGGAGAAGAAGACTTCTGCCGAAGGAATGAGTGTCTTTGATGAGGAAGGACCGGTCCAGTTGGAGAGACAGAGTCGGGGCTCCGCTCAGAGTTGACCACCTTCTCTGCCACAACAGGGAGGGTCTGCCCGAGGCTGAGAGGTGAGGAGAGAAGCCTGGGGATGTTAGCTTAGTGTGGGCCACCACCAAGGAAGATGAGCCACCTCATCACAGCCGCGGTGGAGAGAGCACTGAACTAGGACCCCAGGCCCCTGTCAGTGCTAGAGGGCTGGAGTTTGTGCAGGTCACCTACTGTGCCTCAGTTTTCCTACTGGTAGAATGGGAGCAACCCTACCCACAGCTCAGGGCTATTGTGAGAGTCACTGAGATAAGACAGGAAAGACACGGGCAAGTCAGAAGAGAGACACTGTGAGGCAGTGGAAGGGCAGCCAACGGGCCTGGAGAGATGGACTGGGCTGGTGGCCTTGGGCGAGTGCCTGCCCTTCTCTGTACACTGGGAGGATCAGGCCAGCTGATCTCAGAGGAGCCGTGAGCCCCGGCCTCCCTCGTCACCATCTTTGTTTATGAAAAATAACACTGTTATCTTCCCCTGCTCCAGGGAAGCTTCCTGAGGAGGCGCCACAGCAGCCCCAGTCACTCCCCACGACAGCTTAGGGCCTCGCTCCGGCACTTACCTGAGGACGTGTGGGGAAGCAAGCAGAGGGAGGACGCAGCCTTGCCCGCCCCTGCAGGTGGACTTGCTTTTCCTCTGTCCTCAACCTCTGGCTTCTGGTGGGTTTTCCTGTCCGATTTGCGGTGATCCCCTGGCAGCCCTTGGCCCTCATCTCATCTCGTTGCCAATAGCACGTAAGTGTGAGTGACTCCTCACTGCAGTCCAGGCAGCTGGGGGCTATGAGGGGCTTCAGAAGTCCTCATCCCCTGCCTGTAGGCCTGGCCATACTGGACCCATGAGATCAGCCACCTGTCAGCTGGAACCTCGAGGTACTATAGCCCTCCTCACTCAAGCCCTGGTCCCCTAACTCAGAGGTGAGGCGTTGGGCTGGAGGGGGCGAGCAGCCAGGTAAGAGTGTGGGAAGACCTGGATGCCCAGTGGGCAGCTCTGCCCTGGATGCTCCTGTTTCTGCCTGTCTTGGGATGGGTTGGGTTGGGGAAGGGGCCTCTGAGAAGGGTGAGGCCTCCGAGTCCTCTGTCTGCCTCCCCTCCCCCATGCCCCGTCCTCCCCCTCCTCCTTGTCCTCCGCATCCTGCCTCACTTGCCTCAGGTGCTCTCTGCACTGCCTTGCAGACCTCATCTCTCCTTGTGTCTCCGGATCTCTGCCACCTTGTCCCTCTGTTTTCTAGCTCTGGCTTCTTTCTCTGTGTCTATGCCTGTGTCCCCGACTCTCTCCAGGTCCTCATGCCACTCTCAGCCTCCCTCTCACCCTGTGCCTCTCTGTCCTGTCTCTCTCTGACCAGTTCTTGGACTCTCCTCCCCCTCCAGAGTTCTCCCCTTGACAACCCACTTTGCAGCAATCTCATGGAAAAAAGAAAAGAGAAGGCACTGTGTGGTTTCATCGCCACAGTAAAACCTGGTGGGCTTGACATGCAGCTGCAGGTCACCTCAAAGCTGCCACCCTTCTTCCTCCAGGGCAGTCTGTGTACATTCAGCAGAGGCGCCAGCCCTGGTGCAGCTCCCCTGTCTGACACTTCTAGAGCAAAAGCCCACCAGCCTCAGGGCATGTCCTGAAGGGACAGGCAAGTACAGGGACACAGCAGGAGCCCAGGGACCAAAGCAGGTGTCCAGATGGAATTAGATGTCTGCTATGGAATATATGTTGGGATTAGGTGAAGCTCTAACCCCCAGCATGATGCTATTTGAAGGTGGGGCCTCAGGGAGGTAATTAGGTTTAGATGAGGTCATGAGGGTGGGGCCCCCATAATGGGATTAGTGCCCTTACGAGAAGAGGAAGAGAAGCCAGAGTGCTCTCTCTGCCTTGCCATGTGAGGCTACGAAACTGTCATTGATGCCATGATAGATGCAGGCATTGGTACGATTGCCCTGCAAATGGCTGTGGGAGGTCCCGTCTAAGATATTACAATTGCCTAAATGGAGGCTACAGGCCTGCTGCCTGTGGCAGAATATGCAGCACCAAAAGTGCACCCTAATGTAACAAGAAGGCAGCCACGTGCAAGCCAGAAGGAGAGCCCTCAGCAGAAACTGAATTGGCCAGTGCCGTAATCTTGAACTTCTCAGTCTCCAGAACTGCGAGGAATAAACTCCTATTGTTTAAGCCAACCCAGTCTACCAGATTTTGTTACGGCAGCCCAAGATGACTAAGATGGTATAGTATAGCAACCTGGTTGCCCCTTTGCAGGGAAGGCAGCAGCTTGGTGAGGCTCCAGGACCAAAGTCAGCTCTGCTCTGCACTCTGCACCCCTTTACACCATCACCTTTCGTGGCCTTTGGCTTCTGCCACAGAGACTCCCACAGTGGTGTGAAGAAGGTCCATGCCCCAGAGGGCTGGACCTGCTCTAGATCCTAGCAACCTACTGACTTGACTACAGTAGGCTCGGAGGTCCAGGAGTAGGCCCTGGCTAGCACAGGACCCTGACACACAGTGCTTCCTGGTGTGGGTGGGAGCGGAACGGGCACTGGGACAGTCCGGGTCTGCCCTCCCCCAATTCTTCCTATCACTGTCTCCCATCCTAGGAGTATCTGTGTGCCTTGTCTGTCCCCACCCAAGGCTCCTGTCTCTCTGCCCTCAAGTCCCTCAATCACCACCCACATCCCATGCCCACCCAAGGGGATCTGCAAGTGGTGAGCCACCTGGACCAGCATGAGTAGGTGCAAACTCCAAGCCCTCCCCTTCCAAGCTTTGGCCTCTGTTGTGATAACAGTTGCTTGTTTTTTGAACATCTAAAGTGTGTAGGAACTTACAGTTTACAAAGCGCTTCTCTTGCTCATTTTGTTGAATCTTTACAGCAGGTGCATTACTGTGCACATTTCACAAGGGACAAAAGCAAAGCTCAGAGGGCTAAGTGGCTCCATGCTGCTTACATAGCACAGGATTGACCCCCACTTCCAGGGCTGACACCCAGCTAATTACCATCTGAGTGCCCCTTTCCTCCCAACACAAAGCCCCTACACGACCAAACAACCCTATTCACTCTCAGGCACACGTGTGCCTCCCTGCCCTGGGGCCTTTGTTTGGCCATTCCCCTGCCTGAAATGCCTTTACCTATCCCATCCATGTTTTTCCTCATCTTTCAAAGCCCAGCTCATGCCCATCTCCACTTAGAAGTCTTCCACTGCCTTTATGGAACAAGCCTTCTTAGAGCCCATGTTGGGCTTGTAGTCAGCACCATGAAGTTGAACAACTCTGGCAGAGCTGACTTGTCCCTACACATCTACTCTCCCCTTCTTCTTTAGCAATGAAATTCCTGAATTTTAGCTAGGCACAAAGCTGCTTATACAAAAGCCTGAATTTTCCAGATGCCATTTGTTAGATGTAGTCAAGTTCTGATCAATGGGATGTAAACAGAGTGTCATGATGACTCCTAGAAAGTATTGATAAATGGTGAGGTACCTTTCTTCTGCCGTCCTTTTCTACTTCCTTCCAGCTGAAATGTAAACATGATGGCTGGAGCTCAAGCAGCCATTTTGGGCTATAAGGTGGATGCCATGTGTGAGAATGGCAGAGCAATGCAAATAAGGAACTTGAGACCCTGATGGTCATGGAGCTTCCCATACCTGGGCTATTAACTTCCACACTTTGCTTATCTGAAGGGATAATCAACTTCTCTCTTGTTTACACCATTATTATTTTGGGTCTTCTGTCACTTTAGCCAAATACTATCCTAACTGGTACAAAAACACCAACCAACCAATGAGTCTTTATTGAGCACTTACTTTGTGCCAAGCACTATAATAGGCAAAGTCTTAAAAGCTGTTTTTCATTTAATTCTCACAGCAACCTTAAAACCAGGTGTTAAGACTAATTAAATTGGTGAGCTTCATCTCCGAAATGAATTTTGTTTGTTCATTTATTGGCTCCTGCTACATACCAGACATCTGGCAAGGCACTGAGGGTACGGTAGCAAATAAGAGAAATTCCTTTTCTTCAAAACACTGACAGTCCAGTAGGAGAAACAGACAAGTATGTGGAAATAAAATGCACTGTGATGATGATAATAATGCTATGTTATCATTTTAAGATGCTATCAATTGTAGTATGCAATTTTAAATTTTATGTACCATCATGAAAAAATATACTGCCGTTAAGCTGAATCATAATACCTTAACAATAGCCTCACATGACACATGAACCAGACACACCAACCTCCCTTTATTTTGAAATTGTTTATTAGCTATTCCCAGGGATTTCACAATTTCTCTGGCCCTTGGGTGCCTTGCTTGATATGTGACAGGTCGTCTTTTCAGACATATTTCAGTAACAAAACATGGCACAACTTCATCTATTTACCTCTTCCTTTCCTGTCCCGTAAAGCACCTGATTGTGACTCTGGAAGAAGCACAGACTATGGTGGTACCTCTGTTGGTGAATGTTTGCCTCATTCATATTGAGTTTATGCCCTGCAGCTTTGTTTCATGTCCTTCTTCACAAATTTTCATTTCTTTGTTGGGCCATAGCATTCTTGAAGGCACTTTAGAGGCAGTTAAATTCAACACATAAAATATCTAGGAATGCACAAAACTACGCATTCTTTTAGAACTCATAGCTGTAAAGAGCAAAAGACCAAATTTATGCTTATTCAGGCAATGACAACTATGTGGGAACGCCACAGGATAAACGATGATTATAAGATGTTTTGGAGCTGGGTGCAGTGGCTCACGCCTGTAAGTCCATCACTTTGGGAGGCTAAGGTAGGTCAACTGCCTGAGATCAGCCTGGGCAACATGGAGTAACCCCGTCTCTACAAAAAATACAAAAATTAGCAAGGTCATGTACATCCATGACCATAGCTGGTATATGCCTATGGTCCCAGCTGCCAGGGAGGTTGAGGTGGGAGGATCACTTAGGCCCAGGACGTCAAGGCTACAATGAGCCATGAGTGTGCCACTGCACTCCAGGCTGGGCAACAGGGTGAGACCCTGCCCTGAAAAAAAAAAATGATGTTTTTGATCGTAAGCACTGTGCAATCTCAAACGTTTGGAGAAGTGATTTTTTTTCTTTAAACATCTTCCAGAGGCTAGGAGAGGGAGGAATAGGGAATGACTACTTGAGAGAACAGGGTTTCCTTTGGAGATAATGAAAATATTCTGGAGCTATACAGTGGTGATGGCTCCATAACACTGTGAATGTACTAACTGCCGCCAAATTGTGCACTGCAAAATGATTGAGATGGTAAATTTTATGTTATGTGCATTTTACCACAATTTTTTAAAATATAGGTCTTGGATTTGATGAAAATGGTGGCTGTGTCTATTTTTAAATTACTAGGTTTTAAGTGAAAGAAGCCAATCTGAAAAGCTACTTACTGAATGATTCCAACTATATGACATTCTGGAAAAGGCAAAGCTATGGAAACAGTAAAAAGATCAGTGGTTATCAGGGCTTAGCGGGATGAGAGGGATGAGTAGGTGAAGCATAGAGGATCTTTAGGGTAGTGAAACTATTCCAAATGATACTATCATGGTGGAAACATGTCAGTATATATTAGTCCAAACCTATAGAATGTGCAGCACCCAGAATGTACCCCAGTGTAACATACAGACTTTGCATGATGATATGTCATTGTAGGTTCATCAGTTATAACAAATGCACCGGATGTCAGTAGTCGGGGAGGCTGTGCATGTGTGAGGGCAGGGGGTATATGCAAAAGCTCTGCATCTTCCTCACGATTTTGCTGTGAACCTATAACTGCTCCCAAAAAGAGTCTTTAAAAAATAACTAAGTTGCAACACTGTCTTTTTTTTTCTTTTTAGATGGAGTTTCACTCTTGTTGCCCAGGCTGGAGTCCAATGGCATGATCTTGACTCACTGCAACCTCTGCCTCCCAGGTTCAGGCGATTCTCCTGCATCAGCCTCCCAAGTAGCTGAGATTACAGGCATGCACCACC